TTTATATATACTTTATATATATATATAAATATTTATATAAAATTTGCTCTATAATTATAACTAGTTTTAGTTACTTTTTTGCTGACGAATTATGATAGAAATTAGCAATCTCTTCTTCCAGACTAAGTGCAAAGAACGTTAAGTATAGGTTACAAATCATTAGCATAAAATATAACAGGTGTGTAACAGAGCGAGTTAATATATAATTTTCGCTTGTATGACAAATAATTTAATAATTCCGACCATGTGCTTAGAGTCAGTTTGTTTTGATAGATTAGAATAAGCGAACAAATTCCGATTATGCTTAATATTGTACAAGTCAAACAAATCTGCATCATATACGAATTTATTGGCGTGAAGAATGAACTAAAATCCAACGAATTCAACTTCTATCAACGCTATTCTAAAGAATAAACATAATTAAATATAAATATTTAATAAAAATCTTTATATTTTTAAGCACGAAAATTATTAAACAAATCATTTTTACGATGTGAAAATTTCCAAAATTAACTTTAGTTTATTACAAAACCAATGAAATAAATTTACTGCAGATTACAGAATATAAAAATTTTATTAAACTAACTTCAATTTCATGTCTAAATTTCTTATTCTAAAGCTGAATAATAGATTAAGAACACGCTATCCGTTAAGAATATATTACTATAATAATCCTGTAAGAAAAGAATAATAACGATGTTTGTCGGAATCTTGTTTCTATGGAAATTTGAAATTGCAGAAATTCATAAAAGAACTCGAGGGGGAAGGAAGTAAAATACACTATAAGTTACTGGGAACCAAGTATAGAAGTAAGCTTGCAGTACAAAATTAGTAACGGGATGCTGAACAACAGAAAAGAAAGATAAAATATTCTTCTTAAACGAACTGTACTGTACATATACTTTTTTTCTTTTATTAATATATAGTTTAAAATGCTTAATAATAGATTAAATTTACATTGTTATCCTTTATTTTATTTTTAAAATAAATAAAATATATATATCCTATATACTTAAAAATATTTTCCGCTTTTAAAAATGACAATATTTTCATTTTTAATCAAAATTTAAACCATTAAAAATGAAAATTAATATTTAAAAAATAAAATAAAATACAGTCAAACTACCAAAACAACAGCCATTTTTATTGGCTGTTGTTTAGAGGTTTGAGTGTAAATTTAAAAAAAAAAATTTAAATAATAGAAAAATAAGTTATTATATTCAAAAAAGAGAAATCTTAACATTATTAAAATGAAAAATTTTCTATCTAAATAAGTGTTTTTCATATTTATAATGCAAAAATATTGCTTGCCTTATAAACATTCTAGTGCCATGTTTATCAATGAAATAAAGATTACAAATTGAAAAATCTTTTTTTCTTTTTTTTTTGTATCGTAAATGATATGACATAAAATCATAAAATAAAATATCATTTCTGAAATATACAAAAATACTAAATTAAATATTTACAAAAATCGATTTTTTTTTCTATACGATTTGAGATAATCATTTCTGTAGTAAAATGCGACAAAAATATATTCCAAATGCGGTCAAAAATGGGTATTTTAAGTACTAAACACTCGAAAAAAAAGCAGCAAAATACTCCAAAAAAGTATACATTTTTTTCAGATGTTAAAATCCTACAAAAATTGGGCATTAAAATCTTGCAAAACTTGGGTTAAAAACGTGCAAATTTGGGCATTAAAATCGTGCAAAACTTGGGTTAAAATGGTGTAAATTTGGGCATTAAAATCGTGCAAATTTGGATTTAAAATCTTGCAAAACTTGGGTTAAAATCGTGCAAATTTGGGCATTAAAATCCTACAAAAATTGGGCATCAAAATCGTGCAAAAATTGGGTATTAAAATATATTTTAAATGATCGATTTTTGTATTTTAACACGTGAAAAATGGAA